GATTGCTTTCATTTTTGGAGGAAAATAATTAAGTAAAGCTTCATCCCGCAAGCTGTCTGGGTTTCGTATTCATCTTCGATGTATGTATTAAGACACCGCATTATCAACAATGGGGAAAGTCCCTTTATGCTTCCAACTTCAAAGAAAAACGAAAGAGTTTGAGACATTTATTTCTTTATTCCATCTAAGATTAACACCTGTGCTTCCTAATACTTGGATAACATTCTACTGTAAAAAATTAAGCATTATCGTACTATTAAAAACCATACATAAAGACATATTAACAATTCTCTTGTTTTGTAAAGAAATTTAAGCAAACCTGTAGCGTCTTAGAAATTGTTGTCTTTTATCTCACTTTCATATGTCTACTTTCAACAGCTTATTCGCTGATTATCTATGTAATCACTAAGCCGTTACAAAGTCGATGCCCATATATTAGGGATTGTGGCGATACTTCTTAACATTTTACATTTATTCAGTTAGAGGGGAGTTCAGGATTCGTCGACTCGAGGAGATAAATCTTGTCTTAAGACGAATGCTGTAAAAAAAATGCATCGAATAGATAATTAGGCTAATAACCTTCAGTATCACTTTCCTATAAAAGCTGTGGCCATCTTAAATGAGTGCAACTGTGATTTCTGTCCACCGAAAAGTCATTCGCATTTTCATTTGATTTTAAAGAAAGTTAATGCCTGGATTACATTTGCCCCAGGCGCCGTACGATAAATTAGTCTACGATTTTTCGTAGACATCGTAGGAGGCTACGGGCTACGATGTTTGTGTTTACATTTTCTACGAGCATCGTGCCATTTATTGTATTGTCCCTCGGGGGCAGGCCGGGGCAAATCCGTACAGAGGCTGCTCGGAGATTGTACGGAAATCGTGCAATTTGCATGCAGTAGCCGTGCAGTCTCCGTGCAAAGGTTGCGCGGAGAAGGCGCGGTGACCGTACAGCAACCTTGCGATAGCTGTGCAATTGCCGTGCGAATGCCCCATGAGTCTACAATCTCCGTACGATTTTCTTTGCCCCCATGTTCACCGAAATATCGTACGTTTGCTGCACAATCAGTGCGAAGCCTCCGGGCGATGCCCGTGCGGGGATTGTGCAATGCCACCTACGACATTTATACGGGCTACGGGCTTACGATTTTTTCAAATTTGTTTAACTTCTCGCGAAACAAAATCGTAAAGGCTGCGGAGCCCCTGAATCCGTACGAAAATCTCACGGCCGCCTCCTGCCACCGCACAGAGGCCGCACGGAAAAGGGGATACGAGCAGGATACGGGCTCCGTAGACTAATCGCAGGCCAAATGTAATCCAGGCATAAGCGACCACATGGTCTTTCCTTATACTTTCAATCAATAAACCCCAAAAGACATGGGCATCGACATGACACAACATTTCGCGAAGCTTTTGTTCTTCTTCTTTCTTTTAGAAAAGACCACAATAATTTTTTGTTTAACTACAACAAACAAAAAAACATTTTCCCATCCGATAGTCTGTATTTCCTTCCTTCATTCCTTGAATAGGGACCGATTCGTTGGCACCTGGACTCTTTAACACCTTGGCAATTTCGAGCTGGGACATCGGACCAAATTTGCTGTCACACCCTGGGATGAAGACAATTATAATGAAGAAGAAATCTCGGGAGAGAAATGAAAACAGTCTGTCTGGGTATGACGAGACTGATCGCATATCCTCTGTACGGTTCGCCTCTTAGTCAAACAGGAAGGAAGGGCTTCATATCACCCTGGGGAAGTTCATACATGGAGTCAAAAAATACGAAAATGAACTTTCAATTTCAACGTCTTGTTTCAAAAATGATCTTTGTGTACATGATGAGCTTCATTTTCTGTCGACACTGTCTGGAAAAAAAATCTTGTTTCATTGAATTATTTCATCGATATCCCGAAACATATCGTCTGTAAAGAGAACGAGCTAGACTTTTAGACAAATTAATGAAGCAAGGAACTGAAGGAACTGTTGATTTTATTTCTTCTACCAAAAAAAAAATCGTAGTAAATCTAATAAACACTATTGGCTCTAGAAGCGTTTAAACGCGTTTATCGGGCTATATCCTTTTTGAAACGAAAATGAATTTATAATGGTTAAACTGAGTCACGGGGCAATTTTTTTTCTTCATAACTTTATTGATAGGCTATTTTATGATTATATGCCTTAAGAAAGGATAATGTGATAACATCTCTGCATCAAAGTTATAAAAAAAATATATCAATATGACAGATGGCAAATTTCTTTGTAGATGATCCTTACATGCTGTTTAAAGAGCTTAAAGTGTTCCTAAAAGCGTTGATAAATTCCATATAGGATTTAATATGTATATAGCAACAATTCCTCTATTTCCTTCGATTTATTCTACAAATTGGATTTACAGTTCAAATTCTTTAAAATAAAACTATTTCCTGTTTAATAGACATCATCTTTAGACATGTTGGATTATAATTTAGTCTGTATCGGCTACTTGCAAAAAAAAAACACTTCTGAAAAAGCAACGTCAATATTGCTGCTAATGTTAAATCTAATGTGGGATGTGGAAATTATATATTTACTTTGGACAAGGAGACATGCACTTAACAGCAGTCTGTCTTGGTCACATCAGGGAGGTGTGAGTTGAACTCCAGTGAGATAGTGAAGACGTGCATTGGGATTATGACTCAAAATAAAGAATTGTTTTGGATAAAGTTCGAACATAATAAAAAGCTTTCAGACTGCCCGTCTAGTTTAAATTCGGTTTTAATGCACGGAATCTTGCTTTCTAAACACCCAGAGGGGTCCAGCCGTGGAGGACACCAACACTAGTACGGAAACAGGTCTAAATGACCCATAATATTGAGTTAGTCAATAGGAAGTGACCCTACCGGTCCACGCATTTCATTCCTAGCTTGGTATTGTGATAGTTGTTTAGAAAGTGCTCCTTGTTTGTTGCCGGAGGAGAAAGCTGAAAGGGGTCATGAGGAGGAGGAAAATAACAATGTGTGTTAAGGGTGGGGTACGGGAATGAGATGGGAAGGAAGGATACTTGGTGGATCCGGACTTTGTGAGGGGGCGAGGGTTAACTCTTTTACTCTAAATAGCAGGTTAGAGTACGGTTTTAACTTCTGACTGTTTAATAACCTTTATCAGGGTATGCATATAGGGTTAACACCTTCACCTCCACGGATCCTCCAAAAGGGAGATAGAGAGAGAGGTGGACATAGAGAGAGAGAGAGAGAGAGAGAGAGAGAGAGAGAGAGAGCGTGTGAGGGAGAACGAGCGAGAGATGGGGAAGTGGGAAAAGAAGTGAAAACAATTTTGGTTAAGGAAATACACGATAAAGATGATTAAGGTATCAAAATTAGCAACAAAAAATGTGAGCCTTCGAGACAAAAAGTATGTTACTAATTTGTCAACAATTTCTCTCAAATTAAGTAAGAACAAATACTGTAGTACATGTATAAATATCACGTTGGTACACGGGTTCGGATACAAAAAGAGAGGCAAGAAAGTAAGGACGATTTTTATTGTCCCCCTTTTTTTGTAAATCGGTTAACTACTGAAACAGAGTATCGTAAGAAATAAATAACAGTTGCTAAAATTAACAAATTAGCCTCCGGATAAACCACTCACACTTCTTCCTCGTGTTTCTTTCCAATCTTCTTCTTTCATCAGAAATATTCATTCAACAAAAGGCAACCTGATGCCAAAAGCTTCTGGGTCCGTCAATGTAACCTTTGTTAATATTGACATAAGCCTGTTTTAAGATTTGAGGTGTCACGTGACACGGAGGGCATCACGTGTTTGTAATTACTTGTCAATTGGCATCGCTTACCCGCCACACAGCTCCGCCCGCGCTCTGTACAACCCAAAGGTTCTTATACAAGTAAATTTTAAAGAGCAAATCCATGATTATCGTCTCCATTCCTCGCTTTTCTTTTAACAAGCCCTGCTGGGAGGCAAATGCTTATGTGTTTTTTTAATTCTTAAATGAAGCCGGTGTCCATATATTTTGTCTCGAATCAATAGATGCCGTAGCGTTCATATAAAACGAATTCGACATGTTGGGCGGCATTGACCTTCTCCGTCTACTTGACTTGGCCAACGGCTTAATGAAATAGGGCGTCTAGGATATCAGCCAATGTGCATTACACCCACCTCCCGGGCAATTCCTTAACTCATTTCCAAAACATTCATTAAAATGCGAGGTGGAGAAGTCCTTGTTACAGACTCGGGCTGATGTTGCGATCGAATGCAGCTACTGTAGCTAGCTACAACTCAAGGTCATCACTTCTCAAATTCATTCCTTACCGTTGGCGGTAGTATTCACGCGTACGTACAACCCCCCCCCCCCCCCCTCCACACACACACACACACACACCTTCTCACAGTTCATGCTATTTTTTATTCCATACATATTATGCTTTATAAGACTACATGTCCTCAAAATAATGTCGTGAAGGAACCCTACTGTGTATGTGTATGTGTTTGTGTGTGTGTTTTTTCTATGCCTATCTACCTGTCTGCTTTGTAATGATCTATCATCGATTCTATCAGTCAGCCTATATTTGACGTCATACACGTAGTCAGAACTCTTATTCATGAGATGCGAGAAACCCTTAATCAGAACAAAATTATGTTGCACGATTATAACAACTATAGGCTTTGAGCATGTTTTTTGTAAATGCGAAATATCAATATGTATGTATGTCTGTATGTGTGGAGTATATTATTGTGTGATCTTAACGCATTTACTTTAAAGATTTTTTTATACATTATAAAGCTTTATTTAAATATGAAAGAAAATGTCCTTGAAAGCTTTTCTGCAATGTTATAATCGTATGACTTTCCGGTTCCTGCATTTCAATGTCAAACCGTCCGATAACAATTCTGACTAAAGTTCAGTTATTGTGTTGTTGCGAGCTGTTTTGTTTAGGCTTATAAATGTTGAAATATTAATGAAATGTGATCTCACAACAGAATTTTAACATTCGTTTTATTCCCAGGCACTGGTCGGTTATGGCGTTCCCACAGTGATGAGATGTACCTTAATGCAATGGTTCAAAGAAGTCGGATTTTCAACCTTATATGGAGCACTTTTACTTAAAACATGGAGGTGAGTCAGTCGTAGAGGGCGTGACATTTGGTAATCAACGGACGCGGATAGTAACTATTGAAGAAAATGCAGAAAATGAAACTATATCCGTAACTTTAGGTCGGCTGTGTATTATGTTATTAGTTAATTGCTTCAGAACATGTGCCAGCCATGCTAATACAAAGTACAATTTCCTATGGATGACATTGGGATTATGAACTATAATGCCATCTCGGTTTTATTTACGTATTCTTAAGTAAACCTACTATAAACTTCCTTATTATCACTATATGCTATAATGCATTACTTGCTCTCAGTTAAAGTTAAATGCTCTTTTAATACTACTACTCCTATTGATGTTACTACTTTGTGTAGGTCTTATTAAATGTACGGTGATTGTTAATTTCATCAATAAATAGTATATCGGGTCGTTATCCCTATTTTATTAAATAAAATATACTCTTACAACAGACTTTACAATCAACGCTGCAGTGATGATATTGTCATTGCTCCCAGGGTATTATCACAATTGCTGCTATCATGTTTGTTTTTTAATTTAATTTTAACTAAATGTACAAAATATGTTTTTCATAGCTCGCTAACGTCATTGCTGCCAAAATAAAATGTTTCCTTCGTGCATTGAAAAAAATTATCAGGAAACTTTCAGAAAATTGAAAAAAATCCGGGCGTATCATTCGAAAACCAAAACCACACTTCAAGAAAAAAAGGAAAAAAAGAATCCTTCCTCTTTTAGTCCTCTTATATGGAATCAATCTGTCTGATTACCTCGTTGGTTTTAATAAGTAGATGTTATGACAATCCCGCGGCGTACATATCATGGTCTGTACAAATATACCACACTTCTAAAAGCAAGGAAGAAAGATTGCGTGAGACATCTGCTAAGTGACCTTCCGTCTTAATTTCTAAACGCTATATCTTAAAATCATCTTGCTATCTGGAAGCCATTTTGGGACGATGAGTCCGTGTAATAAAAGTCGGAATTGGCTTTCCATTAACCGCTCCCACGGGCATGGGGGTATCTAGACGGTAAAAAATACAGAGACGAGCCGAGCTCATTAAAATAGATATTTTAAACTTTCTTATCTCGGCCCTCGAGATCAACCACAAATATGGTTCGATGCATGTCATAAATCTTTCTTTTCTTCACAGTTTTCGTTAAAAATTCCAAACAAATTTCGCATGACAGTATGATACACGCCTCTGGATTGAAAATAATATAATTGATTAGTACAATGTTGTTTTGAGTTGCGAGTCTGTGACAATAAATACATCGTCGGTTCTATCTTGATGATTCTTTCTGTAATTCTGTAGTCTACAATAATATTGCTCCGTATTAAACATTTTGAAGAAAGTTATTTGGTCACAGAGGGACCGCACAAGTGATATTGATATGCCAAAACACCATATTCAAAGTCCATCGAGATTACAATCACTGCATTGTTAGTTGTTTTAAAACATGATATTTAAAGACTAAAAGATTGAGAGCCATTCTCAGAGCCAGATAGATATCAAATAGCCATTTCCACTCTTCCGTTCATGAAACAATTAAAGACATATACATATTGGAACTTCGATGTATACGAGCAGATTTGATGCAATGCAAGTTTCTCAAAAATAATAATTTTTTTTTTTTTTTTCTCGTTATTCCATTTTGGCTTGTACACAACGTCAAAGCGCTTTTGATAGCAAGCTAGTTAAATATTAATTTAAAGTTTTACATTCAATTTGGTCAACATCTATGATGTCTTTAGAATGTTTATAATCTAGTCCTGTTGTACTACTTGAAATTTTATCATGGTTATTTCGAGTAATGAAATCGGACATTACCTTATTTTTTGGATGTTGGGAAAACATCCTTGAAAGTTGTGAAAATGTGTTTAAGGCTGATTTAAAATGGAAGATTTAAAATCCTTGTAAAATCTATTGTAAAAATTGAGGAGGAATTTCATAGGAATGTCAACTATAAATTGCCATAACCAATGTAATCGTACTTATTAACTATTTTTCGTCATGTATTTGAAAGAAAAAAATATTGTCTTCACCCTTCGACCATTCAACTAACGGATATAATATTTCACAAAGGGGAAGGGGAGGAATATCATACGGTTTGGAAAAAGTTTGGAAGTAGTTCTAATGGTACTTTATGCAATCTCGAATCAATACATGAACTTTACTTGACACTATAGTCCATATGGTTTCTAAGAAATTCGTCTTCCACCACACGATATATGTTTCGATTTTCGAGAGCATTGTGACGTCTTACGACGTCATCTTTGTGTTGTCCAACGAAATAGGAATGGCGAGAGAATTCCAATCAATTTTTGACGTTATTAATCGTGTCCTTCATCTCCTGTCATAATGATAATATTGATTATTTAGGAGAGCTGAAAAAAAATACCATAGTGCTTACAAAAAAGAAAATCACAGAATTTGAAGAGAAATATAAAATGTATTAACTCATTAAAAATAAGTACGTCATATATTATATTAATGAGGTAAGAAGTATGAATTGAAGGATGTCTCCTTTCTCCACTGATGTTATATTAAACAAAAGACTGTGATAATTTCTTTTGTACACTGTATGTACCTAATTCTTTAAAGTAATAAAAACATCTGTGTTATTGACACTTTTTTTCTAAAAGTCCATATCATTTGGAATTCTAAAATCCGAATTATAGAGTTTACACTTTAAACATGTTGGATCCAGCCATATGAAAGTTGAATCTAGCATATTAAAAGTGTTATCTGATATTTTGAAAGAGTTGTCACTCCTCAGCCCATTTAAATTGTCATTTAACGAATTAATTAAATTGCACGAGTTAATTTATTTTTGAAAAGTCTGATTATTGTGATTTTTAGTCACTGAAATTGTTTTATCCGTATCCCGCTAATAGAGCGACAGCGTAGGCGGAGTAAACCGGTTTATTTATTGATGAAGTTTGAACGATTTATACAGGCATTTGCTCTACAATAACCCTTCAAAATCTAACCTACTTTTGTGAAAGTTCGTAAAGCATACCCATATGACACCATGGGGATTGTCGTAGAGTAGGGAAATTAATGTCTAACGACTTTGTCTTTGAGAGTTTTCCTTTCCGCAAACATCAATGTAGAAAGACATAAATCTCTATGAACACTATCGAAATGAAATGACCAAGAGCCTGTATTATGATATTGTGCCGGTATGACTACCGGCTTCTTTTCGCTCGGTTAATATTATTTACTTACATTTGTTTGTGTGTGTGTGTTTTCATGGATGCTTTCGAATGACCACGAAGGCTTAGTCCGTGTATTGCTCATATAACTAATACGGCGCAATTTGTCGTCATTATTTTGTAGTCGAATCTAAATCAACGGCAAAATTCATGTAATTCTTGTTAAAGGGTTAAACAAATCGATGATGAAACGGAAGAAGTAATGTACAGAAACAGAAATGTATTTCACACGTATGTATATCGATTTATCAATTTTATCTAAGACTGTGTAAAACTAATGTTTACTAAGTGTGATGTTATCTAGTGGACTACAAGGGCAGATGATAATATACTTCTTTAAGAAAGGGGACTGTTTAAAGATCCACCCCCCCCCCCCCCAATTTAAGCATTTGGAATCATTTATAATCAAATTTTCTTTGTCTCTCTATCAAAATGTCTTTCTTTATTATTCTCCCTCTCTCTCTTCCATCCTCATGCGTACAGGATATCCGTTGTATTCCGGGTTCGATCAGCAGCGCGAGTCCGGATAACCGACATGGACCTGATAAAGCGGTTGGGTCTTATCATCGCTGTATCACTCTTTTATCTAATAGTCAGAACGGTGGTGTCTCCCCCAACGGTGGAGATTGGCAAATCACTACATGACTTAAAGGCATACCAGTGCTCGTATGATTGGTGGGACTATGCAGCAAATATTGGTAGGTACTTTGATGTTGATTTTTTTTATAAGTTCTTAGTTTATCTTTGTTTTCTTTATGTTGAGGGTGATAATTAAGCTGCAGAATGTTGCCCATGATCATACGTTCATAGCATACGTCTTCATTTTCTTACTTATAGCCTAGAAGGTGGGATGGCTTCGGAACTAGAGCAGTAATCTCTGAAGCAAAAGGTTTCAAGTTCAAAACTAAGTAGCAATTCCTATCGCTTATTACCACTCGGTCGTATAGGATGGGGCAAGACACCCACACAAATGTGTTTTTTAAACGAGGTTAATGACGGTATATTCCCCTACAAATTTCGGTTGACACTATCGCAAAGACCTTCGAAAAATCAACATAAGTCAATTATAGCCTTGTTCATCCTTTTTTTTAACTTGGGAAAATTACACTAACGTAAATCCGAGCATGATTCCCACATAATTGACCATTGACTATCGGAACGCTTGATTTGATTTTCAATCGTCGTGTTCTAAGGATTAGCTATTTAGAAGTATGAACACAGCTCTTGTGTGTGAGTACATACGAGGCAACAAGTGAGTTAAACTTGTTCAAGAGATTCGGGTTGATCTCGATCGATCGATGCTTTGCCTCGGATCGTGACCAATTTTTGTTTCTTTTATTCTTCTACCTTGCGCAAGGCGGGAGAGAAAAACCCAGTGTCAGATCTCTGACTTTACGATGCGATAGTGCAAAAATCGTGATAAGATCTTGGAAAAACAACAACTTGAGGCTGTTTCAAATCTCACATGTCGACTGCTGCAGGTCATGGAACAAGATCGAAATGAGGTTTTCTTTCTTCTTTTGAATGTCAAGATATGTAGGTTTGTACATTAAAGAAAAGGCGACGGTCTTCTCTCTTATTTTCACCCTAATCCAGGCATCTATTATTTAGAGTGCAGTAGTTATTATAGTTCGTTGGCTGATTATGCGCGTTCATTTCTTATGAAATCACGGATGACTTAATGCCATTTCGAATGTCATTTTCTTTTTCCTTCAACATAAGGTATATACAGAGGTGTGATTGTAGATATATATGTAAGAGATGTTATACCGAGTATGATTGAATAGATGAATATTAAACTTTGTCTGGCATCAACTCACTTCGTTACCTTTGAAGAATTGCTCGCAAAGGAAATCCACATTTATAACCTTTACATTATTTATTGCTTCCAAAACCAAATACAATTTCACAAGCTCATTAGAAACATAAACGGTTGCAAAAACCCTTCGTCATGTTTTAAATCCAAAATCCTTCCATTTCATAAATAAGTCAAGCATTTTCATAACTCCTTTGATAATTTTTAATGCTGTGGTGGACACTTCTGATGGATATGAAACACGCACTACATGAAAGATTGGAAAGGAAAGATAGGTTGGTATGTTGTCGAGATATATCGTAGTAGGACAAATACATTTAGTCTTTGTTTACTGAATTATTTGGGGACTTGAGTATATCAAAGCTTCACTCAGTGTTTCTTAATTTAATCAAATTATCACATATCATGATAAATATTATCTAGATTCGTTAACGTATCAAATTTCAAAAACCGAATTTCGCACCAGTTTTTTCTCCTCTTAATGAACCATATCATAGCTTCTTAAAGCCGAGTTGCATAATATATTGACGGCTCACATACACTATCGTCAATACACGAACATGTAAAACGAGAAGAAGAAAAATATTGCAAAATGCTTTTCAATCCAAAATAACCAAGTCATAACCAAGTCACATCGAAAGGACTGATGACACCAGATTAGAAATAGACGGATCAGACATTTACATAACCTTGATTGGACAGGATTTTGTCGGTTTGGAGTCAGTTTGGTGAAGTGAGACGGATATCCACCACACAGCCTTGAAATGGTGGCCCCTTAATCTTATTCAATCATTTTATTCATATCATACATGATTCATATCATCCAGAAGTAAAGAATGGGCGTACAAATTCAGTACGAAGCATAAGCAATCATTGATTCGTGAAAACCTCAAATCCAGACCGTCTGAAAATACATCGAGTTTAACGCTAGAAGATAATTGAGGGTAAAGATGAAGGGATGCTGCATAAATAGGGATGATTCTAATAAGATTGGGAAAGGTAATAAACCGAATGATATGAGGAGTGTAGGATGTGTTGCCGGGCAGGGAGTGAGACGTCATGGATATCATACTGCGCCGGCTTTCTTTTGCCCTCAAAAGATCTTAAACGGAGATATCTTGAGTAAACGTTTTCTCTCTTTTCTCTCTCTCTCTTTCTTTTCAAACTTCTGTGGTCTCAGAACATAATTCATATATTTAAGAAACCAATCCATATGATATTCATGTGTATTTGTCTATCTCCATCTCTCTCTCTCTAACGTTTAATTTCCCTACCTCCCCAATTATCTTTGAATATCACGACTCCTCTCTCTCTCTCTCTCTCTCTCTCTCTCTCTCTCCTTCTTCCTCTTCTCAAACCCCTCTCTACATCCACTCAACCCTTCTTTCTGTCATATTCTTACTTCGTATTATTTAACCCCATTTTGTCGGTCTTTTCAAGTTTGTTGCGCGATCCTTTCCCCCCTTTTACTACACCCACCCCCCCCCCCCTTTTGAATATTTCTAATTTCATTGTGTAAACCATTCAAAGATTTTGGTGCCGCCAAAATGGTGTTATTTTCAGCGTTTTGCCCCCATCATTTGGAATGCGGAAACAGAATTTGGCTTCAGGCAACTCGACGTTCAAGTTTCTTTTCCTTTCATCGGCGTATGATTACCTTGGTTCTTTTGATCAAACCCGGTGAGCAATCTCCTCAAAATAGGACGAGATTGGAGATGAGGACAAATTAATCAGCGAGAGTTCCTCCTTTCTATTTTATCTTGACGGATCTAGCAACCCTATCAGGGGGTGTTGCCTGTTATTCAATCACAAGCCGAATACTGTTCGATCAGTATCGGGTGACAGTCGCAGAGAAAAAGTAGAAGGGAGCGAACTTGAGGAATTAAAGCAGCAATCTAGCATTCTAATCTCTTTTGTCAATGCCTAAAGAATGACCCGACGTATCTCCCTTTCCACCAAAGCGATAGCAAATTTAGGCAAATCGTGCCGCTAACTAGGGTACACATCCCTAACCCATTCGAATCAGCGTGTACAATCGCACGACGGAATTGTGGCGTATCTTTCCGCGGCTGGGAGCAAGAAGATCACTTATCAAGTAATCTGATGCAATTAAAAATTTCAGATCTAACGAAAGAGTTGCTCACCCCTTTTGAGGGGTTTGAAACCAATCCAATACGATAGAGTCTCTTTTACGTAGTTTGGGGGAAAGTTTTTTTAAACACTACATTTCTGTGAGGATATTGGAATTGGGAGGAAAAAGATTTTCGCCTGCGCAAGCTTAAAGACTTTTTGCGGATTAATATGGCGGGGGAAAGTGATGCGCTAATTTCCGGCGAGTCGCGACTCCGTGGATCTGGTGTGGTATGGTCATGATGATTAATATAGAGCCAAAACCACACGCGCGTTATTAATGAAGAAATAAGCGCGGGAGACCAAGGATGAGCTTTTGAGGGTAAGCTTGTTACCAGAAATCATATTAGGCATATCATCTTGGGCGAGCCTGTGTCGGCATTTGAGGGAGGAAAAGTCAATAGTGGCGAGGACAGGAAGAGGAGAGAGCGAGGAAAACTGTGGTTTGAGAGTGAAATAAGAGCAGATAGGAGACACGATAGAATGTCTGAGAAGAAGGGGGATGTAGGAAGAGAGAAAGAGAGAAAGAGAGAGTGGGCGACAGATCCACCGACCGACCGACAGACGGGGTAAAGGATATATTAATACGAGTTTTTAAACAAGAGAGTGTACGAGAGACACAGAGAGGATAGAAAGAGAGAGAACGAATAGAGTGGGAGAAGAGCGAGAAGAAAAATAATGGGGAATATAGGAGACCAAGGGCAAGAGCACCAATGACGAAAACAGATTGCTTACTTTGAAGGGGTACAATTATAGGTGATAAATTCTACTTTACACCGATAGAAGAAAAAACATGATAGAAAAGAAATTGATCAGATCATTTACGACAGCTAATTTACGCAGATTTTACCAAGCCCAGATGGTCTAGCATCTGGGTGAAAGAAGCATCCGCGGCTTGCCGTTGAGGTTAGCGTGTTGAGCTATAGATTTTTAATACATTTTATTGACTTAGCTCGGTGTATCACAATCTAATTATATCATCTTGATCGAAGTCAAGTACAGGTAGGTACAATTTGTTTAGGAGTTTGGTTATTGGTTATTGGTGGTTATTTTACCTGACTGATAGGAAAGCATAAATGCTTGTAAGTAAGCAACCATACGGCAGACGGCTTTAGGTCCTCTCCGAGGGACATGGTAATGCGGATTAATGTCTTACCAAAGAGCACTAGCGCATCGACTTGGTTTCGAACCCGGGTCACCGGATTACGAGACCACTGCTCTACCAACTGAGCTATCGTGCCTCCTTTTTCATTTTTTTCCCGAATGTTTCGTGGAATATTAGTATTGATATATAAGTGCGAGAATTCTCAACTCTGACATGAGAACGGATGTTCCAGAATATGTAGGCGTGAAGAAAAGTACAGCTACGTCTCACGTTCCTAGACCATTTTCTTCACGCCTATATATATATATATATATATATATATAAATATATCAGTTGAAAATTTGTCAATCTGTCGGTCAATTGAAATGGTGTCACTGAAGCCACTGGCCCGTCTCCGTGGTCTAGAGCTTATAAGGCATTTATATAATCATGTAGTTGATAAACACCTTAAAAATAATTTTCAATATTGTTCTCAATATACATGGTATCTATCTAGGAAAAACCAATAATAAATATCTTTTGCGAAGGCGAGTCTTTTTTAACATTGTCTCTTGGTTTTGTTTCCCTTACCGTCAAGAAGAAAGAGATGTGAACTGAGGAAAATATTTTGGCGGATAAAGTTTCATTCCTTATTTATGTCCTGTTAATAGAAGTGTGAGAACATCACCTTCCAGAGAACATCACCTTCCAAGTGACATATATAGATCAAACCTCACCTGCAGACAATGGTGTAGCTAAGTGGGTACGCCCTCACCTTAGTCGAATGGGAACGGCAATGGCAATGGAGACAGTAAAGCAACATAAAAGACACAGGCGGTCAGAT